GTTTGACTGAAGATGGTAGGGAGTAGTGCGCGTCTTTTGTATTCTAAGAGTATTACACAGTGATTTGAAAACAGGCGATTCACAATTTCTTCCTTGACCAGAGTGGAGTGATTCTGGTACGCCATGTCTACACACAAATTCAGAAACCAGTTTATTGCCTACTGTTTCTGCTTTCTGGTCTGGAATTTGATATACGTCGGCCCACTTTGTGAAGTAATCCACAACCACAATGATGTATCGGTTCTTTTCTGATGTGGTCCTGTTATATCTATAGCTCGTCTCTCAGTTGGTGTTGATGAAAATATCACTAACAAGTTGGGCTATTGGTTTCCGATACATACCCTTGTTGACCCATCAGATTTCTTAATCAGCACTACTGGAGATGCTGGACTTGGTGAAGGCTGAATCACACCTCGATCCAACATATCTACCACCATTTTTTTTTTCACTTCTTGTCTCATAGGAATAGGAACTCCCCATAGTGCATGATGAACAGGTCGATGATTTCCAGTATTAGTTTTGCGCTTTATGATGTTAGTTCTGCCTAAATCTTTTCCGTCTTCGAAAATACTTTATGATATTTGCTCAAGATATCATAGGTTTTCTTCTTCTGTGATTTGGAACGATTGCTGTTAATATTTCTATCTTGCCTTACCAGGATTTTTCAATATTGTTTTTATTCCTGATGGTTCCTTCTGTATTCCTAGCTATTATAAACAGCATACTTCCTCTTCTACCTGATCCATATCATCCATTAAAGGTATGAACATCCCAATATTGGTATTCTTGTAGACTGTAATGGGTCGATCACCTTCTAATAGTCCCTTCAAATCATTTGTGCACCCCTTTAATTTCTCCAAATAAGTTAAAATCCTCAAACCAATCATTAAAACTCCTTTCACCTGTGTAAGAATCCGGCAAAACAATTGGTCTTGAAATCCTTGTATTTCCATCTCGTTGTTTTCCATTTTCCACATTCGCATTGCCAGAGGCATTTTCCATCTTGAATAGTTGCCAACTTTGTAGGCATTACATCGAGAACACAGGATGAAACAATCTGTACATTTATTCGACGTATATATAAGTCAGTGGTGAAATCAATGGACATTGTTTTTTTGGACCCTAATTACTTAATGACGGTTGGGCTCTTTGTGTCAGTTCCTATTCCATGACGCTGGGAAAGAGCAGCATATATTTAATGAGAGTAGGTTATATCATGGAAGATCCATTTGAGTGATAGACCTTTACTATTTACCCTACCACAGGAAGAGACCTGTAGACGTGAGCTCGGCGTTATGTAAAGGATGGCTGTTGCATAAAACATTGAGCTTTGACTGCGTCATTTAAAAGAGATGAAGCAGTATTGTCTTCACGGGTCTGTTGAAAAAAACAACCCAGCGCTACTTTCAATATACCTTCTACTTTAGCCTTGATACATCATTTTGGCATTGACAATATATATTTTATCAACGTACATTAATATTTTACATGCATGTGTTTCAGAGTATTTGGAAATTAGTAAGTAAGATGGTAAATAAATAATATTTAAATCGCATAAAAAATACAATGAGAACAAAATATATATGTACTCCTAAAGTATGTGTTCCACATGCAGAGCAAGGAGGATAAAAAAAACTGATTAAAAGGGAAAAAGCTTGCCCTTACATATATGTTGAGACATTATCATAATATGACTATTCATGTAATGTTACGATACTGTACCCATCTACACAAACTATTAAAAAAATGGGCATAAGGTCATGAAGACAAAGGCTATAGATATAATACGATCAGGAACAATTTATGTGGTCATTATGTGATCGAGACGGATCCCTGGGAAAAACACTGAACTAATAATTAGTAAACGTTGAGTGAGTAGCAAACACTCAACCAGTAGTTATGCAACATAAATAATACATCTCTTACATTAATACCCACTGTTTGTCTTCTTGTTGAATACAAAATGATCCAGTCCATTCTCCATAAAGGCTAGACGTGTGACTATCAGACCATAACTTATTGTTATAAGACTGTAGGCAGGAGTGGAGTGTAGGCAATATGATACCAATCCATAAATATTTCATACATGCTGAAGACCGCCTCCGTGGTCTTGTGGTAGAGCGTCCGCCCGGAGAGCGGAAGGTCCAGGGTTCGATCCCGGGCCGCGTCATACAAAAAGACGTTAAAAGATTGTACTTGTTGTTACCCTGTCTGGCGCTCGGCATTAAGGGGCTAAAACAAGGACTGGTCGGCTCGGAGTCAGTATACTGTGTCTGAGTGGGGTATTCATGTTAAACTGCGGCATGGTATCTCAGTGAGCTAGCACTATAAATCGGCATCAGTCCGGACTAGTACAAGCAGCCACACACACACATACACGTGCATGCACGTCGCTATATAAGTGCAATAATCTTGGACGCGACGTTAAACCCAATTTCACCTCACCTCATACATGCTGACTGACACTCTTGATGGGTGAGTGATTAAAACAAATCAATACACACGCATGTGTGTGTGTGTGTGTGTGTGTGTGTGTGTGTGTGTGTGTGTGTGTGTGAGTGTGTGTGCAAAATAACTAGTAAAGTTGAGTAAGCTGGGTGATTATCGGCTGTGAAAACAATGCTTCAGAATGGTCGACGGCATGTCTCTGTGAACAAACACCTATAGATTACGGATAGGTCTGTTGGGTTTCTTAATGCTTTATTACATTTGCTGGATAATATATTTCTTGTACATCAGAATATGTGAATGTTAAGGCTTTACTACCGTTTTTCTTTATTTAGCAGGCCCATCGTACCAAAAACAGCCTAACTGTTTACTTACTATATCCCGCTATGTTTTTCATCTAAACTGTACATTACTATTTTATCAGGCCTTAATCTTATCTTTATTTAAAACTTTCTCCTTCTTTAACACAAGCCATTGGTTTCAGTATTATTAGTAATATATCCGTATTTACATATAAACATACATCATTTATAATTTAAAGTCGACATATTTCAGAAATAAACGACACATGGTCGTTGTTTATCGTACAATAAAACACTGCAAGAAGAATAGACCACTTGGGGCTGCGTTTGTCTGAGCTTGGCTGTCGTAGGGTGCAGACGTGTTTGGGGATAGCTCTGTAGCATGGGCCTTGCATAAAGATACAAAATATGCACATCTGAACATTTATATAGTCTCTGACAGCGATGGCGCAACCTTCTGACAATGAGTCCGTCTCTACTGCCATGGCGTCCCAGGTCAAAGCGACCAGTGTTGACATTGATCATCCATCAACACCTATGAAATCTAAAATGTGAATAAACTCAGTTCACTGAAACTTAAATAATTAAGGCACTTGCAGTGACCAGTTAACAAGTAATCAGTGAGATAGTATATAAATACCGGGAACGCCTAACAACTTCATCGTAAATAGACACATGCACCTTTGAATGTGGAGATCACCCCCAAAAGTCGTGGTGGCCGTAACCTTGCATATCAAGGTTTTAAATACCGAGTGAAACAATGACGAGATCCCGCCTACACTGGAAATGTTGTATGCTGAATGTCCAACAACCGCCAACACCTCTTATGATCTTATGGCGAACCAGAGCCTTGCGCATAACTAATGTCATGACATTGTCCCTGAACTGGTTGAGTGACTTCCTTCCATCAACATGAAAGGAATAGCCATAGAGAAAGAAAGGATTAAAATCTAAAGATAACCTATCTACACAGTACAAGTAGTCACAACTATTTTTCTCTATTAATAAACTGTTACCTGTGGTATTCCCTGCAAAACTCACTCAAATGCAAAAATCAAAACCCCAAATGAGATTCTGTCTACATACTCACAAAAGGTGATTGTAATGATCTCAAATTCTATCAACAGTTAAACCCCATGGCTGCTCATATTCATTTCCAATATCCTCTTACAATTTGTGGCGAACATTGAACAACCCGTGGAATGGTTCATGCCATATAAGTCCAGCAACCGAACATTAATTAAGCGTAGCCGACCTTGTGTTTATGGTCAATAGGACAATAGCCGCTCATTAACTCAAGATTTACATATCATTGTTTTGATTAATCTCACCATTCATTTGATCTGTTTGTCACTTTCAACCGAAACCTATTCCCGTGATACACGCATGACACAGGCGTGTGCAACGATTGACCCACGCGTGCTTAACGGGTTGCGCACCCGTGTCACATTAGTGTTACACCCGTTCTCAACGCGTGTAAGGGGTATGAACTCCCAGGCAGTAGTGTATATGCTTTGCCAGAAAGCAAAGTGTATGATGAGAGAGATGTTATGTTACTTCGAATGTATGTTTTTGCAAAACACAGGTCCTCGAACACACGAGGAACTCAGTCTTCATTCAGGAGATACCTTAAATTTGAAAGGGCCCTAGGCATTTCCAGTCTGATGAAGACTGATGATGTGGTGCTAACTTACTAGGGATCATAATCAAACATAATATAGGTTTGGAACCAGCAGTTTGTTGATCCTGGCAAAGCTTACACACGAATCTTTGAATAATAGCACCTTTGACAACTGGATACATAATGTGATTATCTTCGTTGTATTTAAACATACATACATGGAGTGATGCCAAGAATGACCTTTACTGTACGTGTGACCTTAACGTTTGAGTGAATTCAATAACGCATGAAGAAGTTTGTTCACCAACTCATCATTTCGTTCGGAAATAAGAACTAATTTATTAAGTATTGGTGAGAACTCACGTTTTACATGTTGTTTCCATTCAGGAATGATGAATGTGTAATCATACGTCAATGTGTTGTACTGGCGACATTACCTATGGTAATCACTTTGACATGGTTCGTGGCCAAGCCTCTCAGATTCCAGGCTAAGAGCATTCAGTATTCGCTGTCTCTCAGCATGATTAACTGTTTACTGCCTTGTTTGTGAAACACCCTTGCCCGACTATGATTATGAGGATCGCCATAATATTGGTAGTAAAGTTTAAAATATTGTTGGCGACACTATGTACAGAAAGTAATTTCGGCTGGATATATATGCCAACCCACGATGGAATCATTAACTATGAGAATATCCTCATGGAATGGAGCGGAATTTCCCGAGCAGAATGTGCTGCAAACTGTGGGTCACATCCAGGGTGCTGGTCTTTCTTCTACCACGAGGGAAATTTGTCTTGTCAAATTCACTCCATGATATTTGTGGAGCCGACTGGAAATGTCAGTGACGGTACTGCCTACTTCAGGAAACCGACAGGTAATTTGTGTAAAATTTAATAACGTCATATCACTAACTGAATTGGAAATACGATATGGAAAGGGCATATGTGTATCTACTGTTGCATCATGTAAACCTATTGAAAAAGGACGCGTATGTTAACGTTACATCTTTAAAATCGCTTATTTACCTTGCCCAACAGTATTATCCCTGCCAACAACATTAGCATGTGTTTCATTCCAAATATGACATATGGACCTGTTTAACACTTTGGAATTTTTTGTCTGTTAAAAGCAATAGATGTTTGTATGTTACATTCAGCGCCATGACTGACTGGTACCTTCCTTGTTTTGACTACCACTCACATCGGCCTGTGACACCTGTGACAACGCGAAGCATATTCAAAGAAATGCACTTGAGGGCCCGACTATTTGATACGCTGGTTTAGTAGCTGAAAATGGAAAAAACATATCTAATGTCGAAACAATACAGAGTTGTAGAGTAATACAGTATTCCGTCAAAACATATTTCGGATTGCATAGAATGACACAAAACATTAGGCTTGGAAACAAACATTGTCACATTTCAAACCGAAAAAGTTGCAACACACAATCAGACTCAAACATAATAGGTATCAACTGAGAGCTAAGAATCAAATGCTGTGAACAAAAGTGACCTTTGTTTTAAAAGTTATTTTTGTCATCCCTTTTTAAAGCAATAATTTCTCGATTGAATATATGTTTCTTTAAGTAGTTTTAATAAGTATATTTTTTTCAGTTTGATTCCTTTGATACCCCATGCATAAATATGCCTTTTCCCCAATAAAAGTATATGACTGATTAAAGTATGTGTTTCCTTGCATTCCCAAAAGGCATGGGTGATGTTCCCATTGACAGCATTACAAAAGCTGTCTCAAATATTGTTTATAATTAAACTCACAGTCAAACATAAAAATAATGATTGATTGCCATTTATTACTAACTTGTTATATCATATTCATTTAATATTAATTTATCATAAAAAATTCTAGCGCCTTTAACAGGTTTCATCAGATCACTTAAGCAACTGTTCATATACACATTCTGTAAAATTATTTTTGTCACGTTTTCTTGATTGTTGTTTTCCATGAGTCTGGTGTATTGAACATTAAATATCTAAAGTCTAATATTGTACTTTTTATCGGATATTTTAGTTTCAGTTCTTCAAATGACATCAATCCGCTATCATTGCATACATCTTTAATAGAGTAAATTTCATTATTTGCCTATTTCTGTATGTTGTACGTTGCTTGTTTGAAGTTGTGATTAAGCCATAATGACTGGAACACAATTTCTTCTATATTATCAACATTTATAATATTTTTAATACAAAAATTGTTCCAAGCTTTCAATACATCTTTCCAGTTGGGGGTTATAACATGAGATTGCTTGTCAACATTAGCACCCACAGAGAGTACATGTATATCTCTAATTGGCTCTAATGTTAATCATGCGTTATCCACCTTTCTCATATAAAAAGAGCTTAGAGCGAAAAGGGGCCAAAATGCACTTTGGCCCTTTTTGCATAGTATTGCATAAATAACATCTATGAGTTCTTGTCTGCCTTAAGAAATATTGTATGTTTTCATTGATGCGTTTTTGAAATATAGCTACTTACAATTCTATAAAAGGGCCAAAGTCACTTTGGTAGATTTTGGCTGTTTTAGCTCTTATTTCCGTGTATGGTTGAGACTGAATATCTGAGAGACATTTTGAAAGTTTGAACACCTTTTATTTATATTTCAACCATTTCAACAAAGTTAGCATTAGTTTCAATCATTTAAAAGTACTTCAATGGTATGTATTTGTACTTTTAGTAGTAGTTTATCAATCTCACATGTTAAATCCCATGCAAATGCCTGAGGGTCAAAAAGGGCCAAAATACAGACATTGGCCCTTTCCACCCTTACACAAATTAAAAACGTAAGTTTATTCCTTTTGAATGTTTTTTATAACAACATTTATATCTCTGCTGTCAGAATGCGTTTATGTCTAGGAATTTATCGGTAAAACAAATGTTCATTAACATGCATAATATTATGTGTTTTCATCACTTTTCTCAAAACAGACTCCACATGACATTGGCCCTAAGCTCTTCAATTATTTTCTTGTCAAAGTGGTCGTTTTGCTTTTGTCTTTTTTATTGTTTCGGAGAAAATTGTGAAATATTTTGTCAAGTGATGAGACAAAGTCCTCAGGAGGGTGTGGTAGCGTCGAAAATATGTGAAACAGTTTTGACAATGCTAAAGGTTTAATGACTGTAATTTTTCCTGTTATAGTTAGATTTCCTTTTCTCCAATTTGCAAGCAATATATTTATTTCTTCTGTCTTTCCTTCTGTATTGATTATCCAGAGTTCACTTAAGTTTAGAAGAAAAATAATTCCTAATACTTCATAATTCCTTATTTTGCCATTCTATTTGTAAATCTTGACATAATCGTTCATTGCCACCCGCTTTTGAGCCTATCTGTATTGCTTTTCTCTTGTCTACATTAATGTTTAAGCCAGACATTCTTTAGAATATGTTAAGGGTTGCTCGTCTTTTAATTTACAGACTTCATTGATGACATATCTTGTTAAGGTGGTAATAAGGATGTGCAGTTACATTATAATTCTAGCCCTGGTGATCATGAATTAGATATACAGTCTGACTATTCTTGCATAAACAAATCTGTTGTTATACAATGTCACCTAGGGCGAACTTTATAACAAAGCATATACAATGGCATGAAGCAAACTGTCGGGCTAAGGCAAATATACACTTCTAGAAACCTTTGTCAAATTCATGATCAGTGATGCTGATACAAAAATCATATATCACAATGTCAGTAATGGGCATTGAATATGTAACTTTGGTCAGTTAATGGAACAGTTCGATCAAGTCTCAAGTCAAGTCAAGTAATTTAATTCTCAAAACCATCAATGGTGGTACAAGAGCTGATTTTACAGAATATTTACAATTATGGACATAATTACACGTAATGAAAGACAGACACATTAGTTCGGGTTCAATATACAGCATTATTATATACATTATTTTTTTAATATATTTTAGTCTTGCAGGACAAAACACACGTTTATATTTAAAAACACTTGGCAATGTAAAATCTTTTCCCTGTAAATGCATATATCTATGAGAGCTAAAATTGAAATAGATAGAGAGTGAGTGAGTAAGTGAGTATTGCTTTACGCCGCCTTTAGCAATATTCCAGCAATATCACAGCGGGGGACACCATAAATGGTCTTCACACATTGTGCCCATGTGGGGAATCAAACCCGGGTCTTCAGCATGACGAGCGAACGTTTTAACCACAAGGCTACCCCACCGCCCCCAAAATAGATGGAGAAGCACACAGATCTAGACGGCATGTTCTGTCCCCACGGTCAATTATAATCAGAGGTTCTGTCTTTAGTAAGTAAAGGCATTGACATGTTGTGGGAAAGTAATAAATATTTTTCGAAAGGAGGAGATTCTTTAAACGAAGAATACAATAATCCCTTGTAACTATAGGATGTATAATTTCTCCATAATGGTATAAAATGATCTCGTAGTACAGAGGTGAGGTGAAATTGGGTATAACGTCGCGTCCAAGATTATTGTACTTATATAGCGACGTGCATGCACGTGTGTGTGTGGCTGCTTGTACTAGTCTGGACTTATGCCGATTTATAGTGCTAGCCCACTGAGATACCATGCCGCAGTTTAACATGAATACCCCACGCAGACACAGTATACTGACCCCGAGCCGACCAGTCCTTGTTTTAAGCCCCTCAACAAGTACCATCTTTTAACGTCTTTTGGTGTGACGCGGCCGGTGATCGAACCCCGGCCTTCCGTCGTAGTACAGATTCAACTGAGATTTTGGTAAAGGTATTAGAATTTTGGAATACTTCACAAAGTCCAAAGTGATCCAAAATTGTCATTACATTAGATAACCAATACTTTTTGTTTTTATTTATACCATTATCAAGTTTAAGAAACTTCAAGATCGTAGAGGAGACTGGAATCCTTTTTCGGTCATCTTCTCGAGGCAAGGGCATGAACCGACTACAAAAGTCTTGCCGAACTAGGCTAGAATTTCAAGGTTCGGTCGTAGCGCTATTACGAGTAACGCCCTTTTTATGTCCCTCCTATTGACCAATTAGATTCCATCACTCATATTACTTGCATTTGCTTCAAGCAAAATGGCGGCGCCTACTCCAAAAGATCTGATCGATAATCAAGATCTATATTGTAAAAAAACGGATCTTACGCAGGAAAGTGCATCAAACCACTTGAGCACCTTTATTAAAAACATAAAAAGATTTGAAATCAATGTAGTTCGTTACGCGATTTTGATTGGACTATGCAGACTCGTTAGTCCAGCCAAAATGTAACTCTGGAATACCAACCTAGTTCGGCAAGGGTGTGAACTAAACGTTTATAGGCAATTAACGTCATTGGAAGATGTTTTCAGTTGATATTTCATACCGATAAGTAATAATTTATTTTGAAATTTGGATTGTTATGTGTTATCTTCGCCGTTTGCCATATACTAGCAAATTTAGAGTAGAGTTCCTAAAAGCAGTTATTATATTCTTATATTAAACTTCTAGGTTTTCATATCCACAGATTTCACAATACAGCAGTATTAGCAGTATCATTATCCCAACAGCCTTAATTGTTCAGTCTATTGGTAGACTGTTTTTGTTGTTGCTCTTTTCAGAAGAAAATAATTAATAGTTGTAATTGTCTGTTCCTATATAATTTCAAACCTAAATAATTATAAACATCTTTAATTTCAATTTATTCTTCTCCGAAGCAAAAAGTCAATCGACAGTTTTTGGCTGGCTTGCCGTCAAACTACTTTCATCTTTGATGGATTAACAAATAATTTCCATTTGGAGCAGTATCATGCAAATGCAGCTAACGACTTTGTAAAGATTTGGGTTTATCGCCAAATATAACTGTTTCCTCTGACATAAAGGAGAATTAACATTTTAACATTAATAATAACTTATCATCTTTAGAGCATTCACTATGTACACTATTACATTCGTGAGTTAACGGGTATGTTTTCATGTTTTTTACGTACAATGAAAATAATAATGGTGACAGCTTTTCACTTTTGTCTCACGCCCGAAAAACTGTGGAAATATTCTGCGGATGTATTATTTACAAGAACACACGACTTTATATTATCATACAGACATCTTTATATCAACTTGTTATTTTTGTGGATCGTTGCTCATAATTTACTCAATGGGTTGACTGCTCCAGACTCGATTACTTACAAACCGCCGCCATGTACATGGACTATTGCTGAGAGTGGCGTTAAACACACACTCGCATGCACGCACACACGCACCCACAACTCTTTCATAAACGTATAAACTGTGCCTATTCATCATGTCAAAGCCATTTGGGGATTCCAGAATAAGTCCAGACATTTCATGTTTGACGACGGATCAAATCAAAATGGACATCGGGAAGCCAGTCTTTATGTTGATTCCGGTGACTTGGATCAATGCTCATGATCATGCTACCCATGACTGGTTTCCCTGGTCTAGACTCTATTATGAAGCGGCCGTCGTGACACAGATATATATATATATAAAATGCAGGCTATGGCGTTGAACAACATGCCCTTACTCAATAATGCTTAATGCTAACCCAAACATTTTTTAGGATATGATGAAAAAGCTATAACAGTGGTAACTTCAAAAATCAGTTACCATAATCTTTATATTCAGGATTTAAACTTCGCAAAAGCATTATGTACGGTATAAATGTTTCCCATACGTCATACTCTTCTTTTCAGAATGTTCTGTAGGCCCCACGGTTGAACACAGCGTGAAGTTGTTCGATCCGACACAAGAACCTTCTATTGCCGGCGAGGTGGTGACCTATGACTGTGATACAGGTCGGTTACCAGACACAGAGGATGATGTTACCTGTCTCATCAGTGGAAATTGGACATCTATGATTTGCAAACGTGAGCGAAAAGTTTAATTGGCACAGAATAGTGTTAACCTCCACTGCACTGTTAAATTTAAAGCAATGAGTGTTTTTCGAGATATGTGAAATATCCAAATTAGGATTAATCAGGATGTTCCTCAGCATTGACAGTCTTTAGTGATGTCTTGTAGTTTTATAGTATATTAGGTACTGGAAAAGAGAGTTTTTTCCCTGGCTTAGAAAAAGGGCAGGCTTTTTTTCGAAACTTGGTTTACCAATCCAACAAATTGTAATGATAAAAGAAGAAGAAAACTAGTGTGTTATTTTTCCACCAAACACCCACGATTTGTACACAGCAATTACAATCCTTCAATGTGTTACGGTGCCCCGTACTTTTCACAATAATATTCTTGTCACGACTATTTAGTATTTCAGTTGTAGACTGCTTTTGATTTCTTTTGCCTGTGTCATCTGAGTTGGTATCATGTCTTTGTTGATATATGTGGAAAGATGGCAACTGCGTTATAAAAGAGCATAATTCAAGGAGGGAAAACAAGTGTTTCCTGTATGAAAAAGACCAGACGTTTTGTTCAAAATATGGATGACCAATAAAAAAAGGAATTTGAACAGAAGAAGAAAAGCAGTTTTTTATTTCAACCTAACAACCCTGACTTTTTAGGCCCACGATTTGTTTCATGGGTTTAATCTTAGTCACACTTTGACTATATTTACAACATGTATCTGCGTTCATAGGTCCTTCCACATGTGCAGAGGTAAAGCGCTGTGAGAGCGGTCGCACTGATGGAGAATACTGGCTCTACCCTCCTACGTTTAATGGCCAAAAGGCCAGGATTTATTGCCATGGAATGTCGGGTAACTCCCCGGCCGAGTATGTGTCACTCGGGACTCCCAACAGTGGACACTATCCGAACACGAAGAGAGCAGACTGTGGGTCAACGGGAACGTGGCCAGATAAAGGCGGTGATACAACGTTTACCAAGATAAAGGTCAACACTGAAGTAAGTGAACATGACGTCCTTCAGTGATTTGCTTGTTTGTTGTTTAACGCCGCGTTCAGCACTATTCCAACTATATTACGGGCGGTCTGTAAATAATCGAGTCTGGACCAGACAATCAAGTGATTGAAATCATGAGCATCGATCCGCGAAATTGGGATACGATGACATGCATTAACCAAATCAGCGAGCCTGACCTTCCGATCCCGTTAGTCGCCTCTTACGATACCATAGTCGCCTCGAGCTCCTTCAGTGAATGTGAAGTGAATAGCTTATGACGGTCTGCTGAGCAAAACGAAAGAACGAACATATCTTGTCTTCTCTACAGGGTTATAAAGTAACCTATTTTAACATTGTGTTCAACCTTTTGCTTTTTAGTCTAGTTTCAAGGAGAGTTTTATTCCGAAGGATCATTATAATGTAGGTGATAAACACATCGTTGTCCAGAATGGTCGGCGTAATGAAGTAATCCATGCACGACTTTTATATTCAATTCGACTGTAAAGGTATGTATGTATGTATAACAACATGAATACAAAACTTTCTCGGTACTTTTCTGCAGGACCTCTTTTATACCGTGAAAAAAACAAACGGTAATCAGGAATGTAATGATGTCTGCAAGAAATCAACTGGGTTCATTTCCGGACTTTTAACTGCGTATGAATACATTTTTTGATGGGTATCTATTCGTCTCAATTCCAAATTTGAAAACGAACTTTGGCATTCGGTTTGGCAAAATGTAACACTGATACAATATTAAGTTTGATCAACCAGAAGAACCTCGATTCAGTTGTTTTTGTCCATATTCTGCTAAACAAATGGAAGCAGTTATCAAGGAAGAATAAGACGTGAATTTGAAAAATATACATATATGAAATCGAAGTTAAAAACCTCTATATTTAAATCATAGTTGGTTTATAAGCATGCTCTCTTGTCACAATCAGAAAGGGGGCACGGGTGGCCCAGTCGTCTAATGCGCCGCGATTCGCTGTGCAGAGTTGCGTCCCTTGGGCACGCAAGAAACCTATAATTGTGGGTTCGAATCCCGGTTCGCCCCGATAATCGGTCTAGGTTTGTCAACACCATACCCGTGCTCGTAGGTTTCACCGAAGCGGTTAACGTCTGGGACCTCCATCACTTCGGGCTTTCCTCCCACATTAAGCTGACACGCTGCGATATAACTGGAATACTTTTAAAAACGGCGTTAAACCCAACTCACTCACTCACTCACTCACTCACTCACTCACTCACTCACTCACTCACAATCAGAAAACAAACCTGAAGGCTTTGGTTGCAGTGACATAGGTTGAGACTGATATTTTCAGTATATGTAAAGGGCGAATTTAGGAATCAGTAAATCTTGTTTCATCTGCTCACATGTGCCTGCTTCATGTACCCAAACCATGATGTTCACCATCATATTTGAACCACTTCAACATACATTCCTAGAGATAATGAAGCGACCTTTATGATGATGTGTACACACCACTTCTATGATGGTTGGAAGTCTTAGCACTGTGACGCGATAGCGATGGTGTGGCAGTACGTAGCGCCGAAAGTCAACTTGACTAAATTGTACACTTTCTACATATTAGTTCGTCAAGCATATATTTGTTTTGTCAGGCGATTGTTCAGTGTTATGACCTATAATTTTGTGGCCTTGACACAGTAGTCACCATGTATTTTACTCCTTTTTGTGCATTCTGAAATAGATTTCATTATATTTGAGAAGGCGCCGTATACGCGCTAATGTGTTAACGGTGGCCATTGGCATATGCGTTGATGACCAGACTACCGACAGATTGTTGTACTCATAAGCAAGGCTTTTGTGTATATTTTAAGGCATATTAATTTTGAGTTATCGAATGAGATTATATACCTGATTTAAATCTTATTTTGCTTAATGAAGCAAGCATTCCTCACTGTCATGGTAGATGGTATCATGACGTTATGACATTCAAGTGTGACAGTCTCAAAACTGTGAGAGTGCTAAGAGCATTACTGTAAACTTTTGTATTTTACAATATCGATGAACATTAATTTTGCCCCGTAATTTGAAAATACATGTTCTACAATTTCAGAAGATTTCCGGGTTTAAATTCAACAACCTTTTTTATTTGATCAGATTGCCGCCACATGCGTTACGCGGTGTTTTTAGTGGACTCCCAGACACACAGAAAACAAAAATGTTATTCTTCATTCTGAGCTTGTTAAACCCTGCTTTGAACAGTATTGCATATTATCACGACACGTTAGCCTTATGCCAAAAGCCCCAACAGATGTCTTACCACATACGGATGATTTTTAAAATGCGTATTTTAAGTTTGGTGTGGTTGGCAAGTTTAATTTTGGTATTAGGTTTAAAATAGATTGCCAAGATCTCTTCCGAAAATCACATACATATATAGTCGTTGTTTTGTCGCACATTTGCACATTTTCTTAACATATACATGAAGATGAAACACAGTCAGACATGACACAGAGCCCCCTATACCAATGATGTTCTGTTATTTTCAGCTTTACATTGTATATATTGCTAGCAATACCACATAAACAATTTTTTTCTAATAATGATTGGGGTACATTGCCATTAAAGTAAATGGTACATAGTGAATATTCCAGTAATCAGAAGAAAATACAGCGATTGGGCATCACAACTGTATCAATGTACCAATGATAAACGTGTGATATGCAATCAAAGAGTGTTCAAACAAAGCTGGTAAATTATTTCACATATTCCTACAGACAATGGAGATTGTGTCTGGTGACCATCAGTTCGCTACATCAACGAAGATCCTGTACCCTTATGGGGAGGCCCACGATTGTTACACAAACCACGGGTCCAACAACAATTGTGGACCTCTTGGGACGTTCACTATCGACACCACAGGCACTGGGATGAGAGTTGATCTTCAGGTGAGTTCTTAGGGGACCCATTTTATTCATGATAGCGTGTTTGAATCGATTATCATGACACATCAGTTCTCATTAACATTGACCTGAATACAAGCATTTGTCAGGTGTAATAAAATGAATATTCATGCGTGATAAATACCAGATACCAATGTCACAAGCAGTGTCGATGCCATTTATTCCCAGGAGGTTTGTTAAGTAATTCTAACTTGATACATGTATCATTAGTCAGGAAACACAATTATCTACCTCTAGGTTAGCTAGAAACATTGGTCATTTTGGTTCAATCTTGTCGTGTCACCCTGGGCAAGTGACTTTGTTCAAATGTGCCTATGTTCACCCAGCAGGGAATGGGTACCCGATATGTGAGGTGGGTGTAGAACCTTCTAGCGCCCCAAGGCACCCTGGGTTGTATACTCGGCAGGGAGTTGAGAATGATAACTGGAATATGAACGGATCCACTTGGCGGGGAACATATAAAACCGCATTTGATTAGATACCAGTACCTGGATACCTGCGCTATTTACATGTATAATATTATAATGATAATAACATAGACATGTGTTTCCCAAAACCGTAATGACAATACATGTAAGGTATTTATTCAATCGTTAGAATACATGTGTTTTCTGTATTCAGGCCATCATGTCACAGTGGCCAAGAGACATATTGTTATTGTACAATCTATTATTGTCATTATCTTTTATCATTCCGCCGTTTTTTTACCAGCTATATTTCAAGAACCAGTCGTCCGATCCTGTCACCAGCAGGAGGACCAGTGCATATCAAGATCAAAACTCGGGACTAAAGGCAGAAAATTAATCCATTTAAGATGACATTGTTTATGATCCCCAACAGCCCAGTCAGCTGTCAAACATGGCAAGCTTTGCAGCATCAAATGCCCCTTTTTTGTCTTTGACTTATCTGAATAATTGCGTTGTTTGGCAGACATATTGGATTTAATGTTTTCAAATTTCATTTTGAACTCTTTTGGGGTAATTGTCTTCTAAAATGTCATCCTCTAGTACATACTAGTCAAATGCTTTACAAATGGTCACTGTACTTCCTACAAAAAAACACTGTAAAATATTTTTGAAAAAACGTCTCATTGAGTCGGCCATATTAGACTCGACTTCCCTTCTCATGTTCTAATTTGTTATGCGTTAGTTTGCCATGGAAGGGGTTGGATTTAATCACATTGATAGGCACTATCGATGGGATGATTCGTGCAAAGATGCAGAATTGCGCGCAAAACGGCGTATGAGTAAATGGCAAAACAAGATATAGATGTACTGAGCGAAACGGATGATGGAGAGCTATTTTGACAAGGGGGCTACAGTACTTTTTCTCGTGACGAACACTTTTTTTAAAAGCACATTACCCCGCTCACCCTCTTGACCTTTCACCTCGGAAGGGTGTTGAGATTTTGCGAACCGCCCTGGGCCACAAAATGGGTCTTGGGCTCCAAACGGTTCAAAGCCAACATCTTCTTCCTTAAATACTTCCAGAGCATGTGTTAATTAGTCACTATTAAATAGTGCTGAAACAAGGAATGTACGAAAAAGTGATCTTATCCGGAGGCATTCGTCAAAAACACATGCAAAGGCAAATGGATTGTACACCCGAAACACGGGAACAAATGGTACAAGTCAAAATAGAGGCATCGGAAATCATATGTGTCACACACACACATATGTACGTCAGATATGTCCTCCAAAGCGTTACTAAGACATTGAATGTTGTAACCTTGTTCAAACAAACTTTGGGCATGTGTCAAATGTCGCTCTTTGAAACTATCTCCGTAAAAAGTCGTGAAATGTTGACATCAAAGGCTAGATCTGCTGGAATCTATAGCTCGTTATAAGGGAATGCTAACTATTGGAATATTAAAGTCATCTCTCCTGTCTTTCAGTCTGAATCTCAATTCGTACATATTTACTATTAAACATAAATAAGATGATGCGGTTTCACTGGTCCGTCTTATCTCTAGCTCATGAGGGTCAATCAGTGGATGGAAATTGGCTTTTGGAACATTTATGAAGGATATCATCGATTTACCTGAAGCTGAAGATGAACTTCTTAGACAATTGCCTTCGTTTGTTTTTTGTTAATCCGAGAATCTATTCTAACTCGTATGCATAAAGAAAGGAGGGGAGCCCAATTGGTGCCTACTTCTTGCCTAAATGTCTTCTACCCCAATTTCACATCAATATGGAAGTCCATTTTTATAGCAACTGTTTTCTCAGGAAACTTTTGATGACATTTACGTTCTTTGTTGACAATTGCGTGTATCCTAAATGTTTGAAGATAGCTCATTGTGTCTGAACGTACATCAAGCTTGAAGGGAATTCACCTGATTAAGCTAAAATCCTGTTGCATTACGTAAGTGTTTCCGAAACATGATACGACGAGGCATTGAATAAGCAGAAGTCATTTCAAAATAACAAGTCGCAATCTGTTATCAAATTTAAGATATGGATGCGTGTTGAATCTACCATAAAACAATCAAAATGTCAAAACTGTTGTACTTGGATTGTTGGTAGTTGGGGGGCATTTATGAAAAGGTAGTGATGAGGTTGTGTCTGTCTTGTGACACCACCGTTTTCTAGTGTCCGTGTGGACAGAATAGGTCCCCAACACCCCATTCCTGTGATGCGCGCCGACTTGGCCTTGTTGGTCACTGTGCAATCGTTGACCTTGGCCCCTTGCTGCTGCTAATACAGCAGGTTTGCCTGGCTCGTTTAATTGCAGGCGGTCAGAATCTCTGAAGACAAAGTACTGTTTGTAAAATATCATTCACTCAGTTGTCATATTCTGTATCTTCAGGTTAAATGGGTTGCACATGGATGGAAGCCATGGGCGATATTTAGTCGCTCTAACGATGGACTTGTCATTAACTTGAACTGTGGAGGTTTCTGCGGCTGGTGTAGGGCCGACAGACCATTTGTTTTGCAACCATATCCGCTCCAAGGTACGTCTACTGAATGCTAATTAATTCTTGCAAAAATGGATCTTTAAAAGAAATAACTGGTATATTTCAGCGTCATAGCGATGAAATCTTCAACAAAATGTCGTGATTACAATATTCCATAAACAAGAACATTGCTGTCTCTATTATGTTGTTATTAGTTTTAAATGTATTCTATGGCATCGACCTCTCACCAATGAATGAAGAATCACAATATAACTTCATTTGTCTGGCACATATTATGCTTTGTATACGTGTAAATGGCTTTGGTGCGGTCGGGTAGCGTAGTGGTTGAAGTGCCGAAGACCAGGGTTCGAATCCCGACATGGGTACAATGTGTGAAGCCCATTTCTGGTGTCCCCTCCCGTGATATTGCTGGAATATTGCTAACAGCAGCGTAAAACCATACTCACTCATTCATTCACTCACTCACTCACTCACTCACCCAAATGGCTTTATCATGCCAGTAAAATACACACCTCATGAATAGCTTATACATGTTATCTGAAAATATTTCCTTCGTTTTAACATTTTATTTTAATCAAAATACAGATGGAGAATATACATCAACATACTTAACGAAATAACTTTGCTAGTAGCATCGTTCCATCAATGTATGCTTTCGGAAAATATTACCTTCCTTTTAGCATTAATTTTCTATCAATATATCAAGGTGATTAACATGAGTATTATTGTAGAAATACATACATGGGGTGTTTTATACTGTTTGCAGAGCCTGACATCGCCACAGCCACCAGTTTGACATGTGACTGAACTGGACTTTCACTGGCTTCGAGGTCAACAACAATAATTATCACCCGCATCTTTTTATAGGAATTATTCGTAGATATTATGATCCTCAAATTGAGAAAATGAGACAAGGAATACAGACACTTAGTAAAATGAAGCTCCATGTATTGGAGTGATAGTTTTGGTAATAAACACACAACCCTTAGCATGCGTAATTTGTTTTACGTTTACATGCAGTGTATTTCATGGCGGTATACAGTAGAACATGGTATAGTACAATATAACGAAGCCATAAATTATCAAGCGACTTGCTTGACACTGTTTCTAATAGAAACTGACGAATCGCGTTGTTAACAAACGTCCTTCAGCAAAACTGGGGCTGTGCCATAGAAAAAGGATCATCGATCAAATTTATGCCAGGAGGATGTAACAAAACCTGAAAGGAACCACATTTCGATGGGGCTGTTTATTTATCAGTTGAAACATTTATCTTTAGTCTATGACCATATACAGAGGTATATATCCTTATGTTACTTAAAGCCACACCCAGCTATAATCCAGTTAGAATTATGACGGCGGCCTGAAAATATTCGGGTTTGATCCAGCCAAATATTTAATCATTTGCAACGTCCCACGCAATTGTCTCGTTGTGTATGCCAGCACTTCCAAGTGGTTTATTTGTTTGTTTGTTGTTTAACGCCACACTCAGAAACATTCAAGCTGTATGATGGAGGTCTGTAAATAACCGAGACTGGACCAAAAAAAAAAGTCCAGGGATTGACACCATGAGCATCGATCTACGAAATTGGGATTAAGACAGTTCTAACCCTTATTGGGGCGGTCGGGTAGCCTAGTGGTTAAAGCGTTCGCTCGTCACGCCGAAGCCCCGGGTTCGATTCCCGACATAGGTACAATGTGTGAAGCCATTTCTGGTGTCCCCCGCCGTGATATTGCTGGAATATTGCTAAAAGCGGGGTGAAACCATACTCACTCACTCACTCTAACCCGTATGTTCATGGGTTGGAACTGGTACAAAGCTTGGTGACCAGCTGTTGATAACGTTCTGTGTGATGATTAGCTGAATGTGTAGGTTACGCAAGATAACACAAACGGGAAATTAAATTGGAATAAGTAATTATAAAAAGGTTCAGAGACGGGCCATGAAATGTAAACCAAATACTCACAGGTCAAAAGACAGGTGCAGACCTTTTATGTCTATTTCCGACACTACTTTGGTACAAATATTTCAATAACGTCGAACATGTTCCAGAGATTGAAATAAAAGAAAAACATAACACTAACGTCACATATGACATGTCGGGAATATCTTATTAATTATATCGTAGGTCTATTCTTAATCTTTGTAACTTTATGACAAAAACATTGACGCTAAATGAATCATACTAACGATGTCGCCATCCCGAAACAAATGAAATATATTTTCATTGGCGTACCCAAGCATTGATTAATGAAAACTTCATCTGACAAAAGGTGAAGAATAGATGATGTATTTGAACCACGGCCAAGGAACGTCCACTGGTTTATCTGATCCCATCTATCAAACATTGATGATCAGACGTGCAGCCAACCGAAACACGACATTCTCATGAGAATAACCGTCAATAGAATAGCCCCAGCAGTTTTCTACCAGTCACCAGAACTCGTAGTCACACTATGAGTAGACAAATACCATTTACATATTTAACACATTGCCAATGAAATCAATAGTAGAAGGACGTGATGAAAAAAAATGTTAGTAGCCTTCAATGAGTTTAATTTGTTAGTGTTAGTGTTAGTGTTAAGGGGTGTTTTGTGACACTTCATGTTGAGGTAAAGCGTGTAGGAGCTGCACATAGGACGCTTCGCCTTCTCAGATGTCTTTATTATACATCGTATTTTTTAAAATAATCGTTTACTGGATGTCTTAAAAACATAACACTATATGTATCTAAAATGAATTGTATGTGTTTTCATTTCAGAGTAAAACAAGGTGTGTTGAATCAGTAAAATATATTGAATAAAATATTCTGTCTCAAATAATATTAGTTGGAAGAGTCTATATACGTTTGGTAAAGCCCAGGAGAAGTGACATAGGTTTACATACCATGTTCTATTCCCTTGTTGATGAAAGTGTAAAGTCCATCGATAGTGTACTTGCCGTGACCTGACTGGGATATAATCAAATATATCTTTTGATATCAACCGTTTGAACCGTTTTCGTATATCAAATATCCTTAGAAATTTGTGGATGAATTACATGCACGGCTTGTGGCCAACAGCCATATGTACTTGCACTTCTTTAAGCTTTATGGTGACTCGCTTATGCATTACAAACGTCATGAGGAGAAACAGCATGCATAATGGATGACCTGTGTCCCCATGGAATAATGGAATAAGGACACAAGATCTGATTCTTCTATTCAGAGTAATTCATTATGCATGAGTACTTGCGTATTCTACATAAATCTCCTTGGTACATCGACACTTATTCGAGTTTATATTTTTTTAATTTTATTATTTGTATGTCTATCCCCAACGAAGGAACCCCATTATCACGAGTATACTCGAATCTTTCGATATATAAAGATGTAAAAATTCAACCTGTGTATTGAATAATAAACACATCAGATGGTATACATGTATATATCGTTAGAGGATGTGTCCACTATTGTACAATGATACTACAGTTCGGAGATTAACCTCAAATTTGAGGTAGACGAATTACAGATAAAATGCTTGGTTCCAATTTATAATGAGAGGAATCTAATCTCTAGTTAGACTACCTCAAGCAGCAGGTTTATGTTCAGTCTACCATGAGGACAAGAACTCTTTGACAACAATGCTCTATGAAAAGGCATACTTACACATAGTGCAATAGGCCATCTATCTTAAATTCTGCCGAAATGGGTCATAGGCTGTGACAAACATAAACAATATTACTAAAGTTCAAGGTAAATTATGGGGGCATGGGCGACACAATTTGTTGTGCACATTTGCGCCCCTTGATCATGTGATCGTGGGAATCCCGTTTAGCCAAGAGTATGTTTCCTGGTTTGTCATCATCATACCTGTACTCGTACTCTTATATTCAAAGTGGTACAACCTGCATCACTTCGAGATTTCCTCCCACTTGAAACTGACATGCTGTGATATAGATGGAATACTTTTCAAAGCAGCGTCAAACCAAACCCACTCACGTAAGATTAATTCCTTATATTTGTGACTACTTCAACACAATGGTTACAATACATAGTTTTACAAAAGGAATTGATGAAATAACCATCATAGATGTATATTTATACCATTGCCATCTGTTGCATATTTGCACTGGTTGGACTCATTTCTTGAACATCAGCATGACATCTTCCATTGTGGAGGTCAAAGGTTATAGAAATGGTGATAAAGAAATGCTCAACTAATTTTCTTTTACAAATCATTAGGAAGTTGTAATAATGTACTAGTTGGTGTGAAGTAATTTCCCAGTAACAGAAATACATATTCAGGTTGACTAGCTCTCCAAACCAAACTTCGACATGGCTGAACTTGAACTACCCCTGTTACTCTTCACCTGGCATGGATGCCGAGATAGTTGTTCAAGGTGACCGTGCTATATACAAATTGCATAAATCCTCGGGATCAATGCAATTTGTATATAGAACCGAATTATGTTCACAACTCACATGATGATTCACTGATGAGCCTGTTGGCACAACCTAAATGCAAACGGCACCGCCCTGAAGTGTGTCTGAAAACCGCAGTTTTTTACTGCAAGCGAGTCGGCAATGTGCCACACGAGAGAATGCTCATTTTGGGGACCGATGATCGAATGGAATTAGATACATGACATGATTTGACCAATCCGAGACCAACATTCTTCAGTGTCAATTTATGCACTATAGTCCACTATTATAAACCTCTTCTTTCGTGTGATGTTTCTATGTAATCGTCATGCAACACTTGAATAATGGATTCTGTCAACAAAACTGTTCACGACATAAGCACATTTTTAAAATAAAAATAAAATAATTTCTGTCTTTCTGTATTTGGGATTTACCGGCAGAATACGGACATAAAATATTCGCGAGGAAATATCTTTAAAACTTAAATAATTATTCACATGTTTGATGCACATCTGAGAGCCAATCGTAGAGCGGTAATGCCAGTGGCTTTGCAATCAGATTGCAATGAGTTTGAAAATCCACCTAGATCGGATAACATTCATTCGTTATTGAATTGCTACCACATGCCAAGATTGACAAGAAATCAGCGACACCAAGCCCTTGGACGATTGCAAACTGGACAAACCACCCGGCAAGTAGCCAATGCATTTCATGTCCACATAAGGACAATATACAGGCTCCAGCAACGGTACCAGACCACAAACACTACAGATGACCGACCACGTAGTGGAAGACCAAGGGGACACACCAGCGACACATTAAGGCGGACACCGCGCGTCGACGATTGACGAGTAGACACCTCCACTGTCACAGGCCAGACCGAGGTCCCATTCTGACACCACGTCATCACCGGGACCGGGTCTTCAGTGGGCAACACAGCACCAGCATTTGCGCCACCAGCAGTGGAGAAGAGTCCCCTTCTCAGACGAAAGCCGTTACTGTATCTCAACAGCAGATGGCAGAGAGAGAGAGAGAGAGTCTGTCGACGCCGTTGGAAACGTTATTCGGATGCTCGTACTGTTGAGAGAGGCTCGTGGGGTGGTCCGAGCATCATGGTGTGGGGTGGAATTGGTCTTGCACAGAGGGTTTGCCCTGTGGTCTTCTGGAACAACGATCAAGGGAGAGGCAATGGTGTCACAGCAGCTCGGTACATTGATCAACTCTTGAGACCACACGCCATACCTCATATGGCACGTCGCCGCAACCACGAGTTAACGCCCGTGCCCACACTGCAACAAGAGACTTCCTCCAGCAGAATGACATCAGAACCATGCAGTGGCCTGCCCTCAGTCCCGATTTAATTCCCATTGAGCACCTGTGGGACGAGATTCAAAGACGGCTGAATGACCTCAGACCAAGGCCGACAACTGCAGCTGAACTGCGTCAGGCGTTCCTCAGAGTGTGGGATCAAGTGCATATGACCTTCATCAACCGCCTCATCCATTCCATATATCGACGCTGCACGGCAGTCATCAATGCACATGGCGGACACACGAGATACTGACTTGTGATGCCATGTTCTCAGAGACTAGTGTTGTGTTTCACTTTAAGAACATTTGACACTTTAATTTCAACCTTGACGATCAGTTTTGCCAAGTTTCATCTTTTTTATATGTCTCAAAGTATGTTTACAGTGTTTGGACAAATAAGGTGTCTCATGTATCTATCCATGATGACGTTTCTTTTGCGGTTCATTGTATGATACTTCTTCTGTGGGACATGACAAGAAGAGGTATACATATATCTAG